CCCTAACCCTAACCCTAACCGCACTAACCCTAACCCTAACCCTAACCGCACTAACCCTAACCCTAACCCTAACCCTAACCCTAACCCTAACCCTACCGCACTAACCCTAACCGCACTAACCCTAACCGCACTAACCCTAACCCTAACCGCTCCACAAGTGTTATAAACGACATCATTCAGTGAACACTCTGCGCTTTAACAATTTGCCTTGGACTCTCATTTACTCCCGTAGTGGACATTGAATATGCCAGGTTCGCCAACAGGTCAATGTAACCCTTCCCCCATTGCGCATTATGCTTTTTACAGGTTTTGTTCGTCGCTATTTAGATTCCATTACGGCAAAGACGAGTTCATTAGTCGTAGTCCGCTCATGAAAATCTAACAAAGCCATGTGAGCATCAGGAACAATTAAAGATAATCGGAAAGAGAAAAAACACTAGCAGTGATTGCGCTCGGCATTCTTATAAACCATTACTCGCACAAAGTATGGCATGGCCATCCCAAGTGTACCGTAATAAATATGTGCAGATGTATATTATGTGCGCGGTATGGTATGTACCAATGTACGCAGAGTAAAAGAAAAAAGGAAAAAGAACTGTGAATCCAAAAAGCAGTGCAGTAATCGAATACAAAAAAAAAACACTGCGTTGCTGTCTGCAGTTGTTGTTTTAATTCTTTTGAGGCAAAGAGATGCCTGCGATGGCAATAACTTGCCATGTTCCAGCTATGTGTGTAACTTGTAGAACGTGACAACCTCCACCAATGCAAAGGCGACAGAGAATAGATCGTCACGCGGACCCACACATAAGAACAACACCGAAAATCACCGCACCACCGCGAAGGCCAGCGAGCCCACTTAAGGAATGTGCAGCTTTCAAAAAAAACGCAAGCCATTTTCCCTTGCACTCCCCTTTCGTGCTGATCAACGTGCCCTCCCCCCATGACCTTTTCGCATACACAATCCCCCACACTCTCGTGTTGGACCCCCCACACTCTCGGCTGTTCCCCTTTCCCCCGCACCTCACAATGTCAAATTAGAGCACATAAAACTAAAACCAAAAACCAGCACCAGTACTGTCTTGCCGCACTGAGTCCACGCCACAGTAGCATACGCTGACAGTGAAACTCAATCGCACAGCAAAAAAAAAGACCATAAAAAATTCTGCAAGTCATAAAATGACAGTACTGCCGGTGATAGAAAAAGTCGCAAGGTGCGCCTTCACCAAAATAACATATAACCTCACCTCTACACTACCCACTGAAACAAGGCAGCAAGAAGAGAAAACAAATCCACGGAATAAACACAATGACACGCACAAGACAATACCAAAGCACGTCCAGAGAACATAGCAATGAATTAATCAAGAACGTTAAAAATTGATATATTTTTTTTTTTAAAAAAGCAGTAAGCAAATATTAAAAATCAGAATAAACAAATTTACCAAAATCCTCATTTCCCCAATGCACACACAGCTATATATATATATATATATATATAT